GCATCCTAGCATTGCAGAACTCCAAGATTTCAAGTGCTGCCCACGCCTTCTGCTTCCTCTAGTGGGTGAGGGAATGTGATGAGTCTGACAATACGTGAGCGTCAGAAAGCTGAGCCCACATCCTGCTGCCTTTCAGGAACTTGCTGGCTGGCTGCCCTAAGTTTACATTTCCAAAATGGGTTTGCAGAGTTAAGCATTTTTTTCATTTTAACAGCTTAAAGTAATTTAAAGACACTCATCTCCATTCTGTGGTGAATATCACTATAACATATCTCTCATATGTCAAAGAAAAGACAGTTCAGTTGGATGCCTGTGGTTCACGCCTATAATCATACTACTTAGGAGACTGAGCTCTGAGGATTCTAGTTTAAAGTCAACCCAGGCAGGAAAGTTTGTGAGATTCTTTTCTTTTTTCTTTTTTTTAAATACATATTTTTTATTGTAAAGATACTGTACAGAGGGGTTACAGTTACATGAGTAAGGTAATGAGTACATTTCCTATTGAGCATTGTTACCCCTCCTTTGCTTTTCCCCTACTATCCCTTCCCTCCCCAACTCCCCAATTCCCCAACTCCTCCCTCCCCTCCCAAAGTTGTAAAGTTCATTTTCAACATAATGTCTTGTACATCTTGTTGTTACAATGGGTCTTCCTGTATCCTTATTTCAGCATTTTGTTATTTCCCTTTCCCTCCCCAAATTTAAAAAAAAAAAAATATGTTCAAGATGCAGGACACCAGAATCAAATACAGTGAAAACAGTGGTTATACCATATGTTCAAGATGCAGGACACCAGAATCAAATACAGTGAAAACAGTGGTTATACCATGGGGGAAGAACATACAAAGAAACAAAAAAAATCACATAGTACATTATAAGAACATTAAAAAGAACAGCAAGAAAGATAAAATCTCTTGTGTCCCTATCTTGGGGTTCATTTCACTTAGCATCACCTTATATGGTCATATGTACATAGCTTTTGACCTCTTCTGCTTGTCCTAGACATATACTAGTTATTGTAGTGAAGGGAGTTCATGAGATTCTTATCTTCAGTTAACCACCCAAAAGCCAGAAGTGGAACTGTAGCTCAAGTGGTAGAGTATAGCATGAGTTGAGGGAAAAAGATAAGCAAGTTCAAGCCCCAGTATCGGCACAAAAATAAATAAAAGATCTCAGTGTTTATATTAGCAATCATTACTATCTAGAAGGCCACCCTAAGATGGTTTGTTTTGTGGTCAGTTAGGATTGACTCATCTAGATTTGGCTCAGGACAATGGTACATAGTCCTGTGTTATTGAAGTCACCTAATGGATTAAAAAAAAATCTTTCCAGCCTAAGTTAAATTCTTTCGCAGAAACATTAAAAATACTATTTTAGTGATAACAAGACTTGAACTTAGACCCTCAAGCTTTCTTAGTGCACTTGCTGGGCTAGCACCCAACCACATTAGCCACAGCGCTAGTCCAACTTTTTGCTAGTTAAATGGAGATGAAGTCTCATGGACTTTTCTGCCCGAACTGGCTTCAAACAGATCTGTTGCCCTCCTGAGTAGCTAGAATTATGGGCATGAGGTACCAGTGCCTGGTTCAGATTTTTTTCATACTTCTTTCCTGATTAAATGTACACTAGACTTAGGTAGTAACCTGCTACACTTCCCAATCCTAGGCTTTGTGAAATCTCACACTGAGAGTGAGTGATGATAGCCAGAAAAGTGTGGGGCGAAAATTGGCCATAACATAGCCAGTTGCCGGTGGCTCACACCTGTAATCCTAGCTACTCAGGTGGCTGAGATCTGAGGATCACAGTTCAAAGCCAGCCTGAGCAGGAAAGTCCATGAGACTCTGATCTCCAATTAGCCACTAGAAAAACCACAGTAGCACTGTGGCTCAAGTGGTAGGGCACTTGCCTTGAGCTGAAGAGCTGAGGGACAGCACCCAGGCCCAAAGTTCAAGCTCCATGACCCACAAAAAAAAAAAAAGGCCATAACAAAAACAAGATATGAGATCAATGTGCTTTTTGAGACAGGGTCTTTCTATGTATCTCTATACAGGCCCAAGCTGCCTAGGCCTACATAGAACTCTTATCCTCCTCCTACAAACTTCAAAGTTCTAAGACTACTGGTATATCTACATGTTTGTTTTTACTGTGTGTATATTATATTATATAGTATAATATATAATAAACACAATATATACTATATATTGTAGTAATAAATAAGTATTGTATTATACATATATAATATATATCTTAGATTCACAGGGTCAAGATGCTGGCTACCCTTTGCCAAAGGTTGCAAGACTAATAAACAACCCTGCTGTGTATTACTGGGAACTGCATGTCTTCCCCTAGAAAATTTTCATAAAAGGCCTATTAAATGTCTGTAATCCTAGCTACTCAGGAGGCTGAGATCTGAGGATCACTGTTCAAAGCCAGCCAGGAAAGTCCATGAGACTCTTATTTCCAATAAACCACTCAGAAAACCAGAAGGGGCACTGTAGTTCAAATGATAGAGTGTTCACCTTGAGCTGAAGAGCTGAGGGTTAGTGCCTAGGCCCAGAGTTCAAGCCCCACAACCAACCAAAAAAAAAGAAGCTCAGGGACAATGCCCAGGCCCTGAATTCAATCTCCAGGACTGGCAAAAAAAAAAAAAATGAGTTTGTAGCTGCAATTAATTAAGAATCTTGGGATGAGGAGATCCTTGATTATGTGGTTATAATTTGAGGGTCCTTATAAGAAAGAGGCAAAAGGCCAGGCATAGTGATACATGTTTATAATCTCAGAACTCAGTAAGTGAAAGTAGGGGCTGGGAAGGTGGCTCAGTGGTACAGTGCTTGCCTCCCATGCATGAGGCCCTGGATGTGATTCCTCAGCACCTCAAAAACAGAAAAAGCTGGAAGTAGCACTGTGGCTCAAATGCTAGAGTGCTAATCTTGAGCTGAAGAACTGAGAGACAGTGCCCAGCCCCAGAGTTCAGGCCCCATGACCAACCAAAATTAAAATAAATAGATAAATAAAAATAAAATAAAAAAGAAGTAAAAGTAAGAGGATTCTGAATTTGAGGCCAGCCTGACTGAGTTACATAGTCAGACTCCAGCTCAAAAACAAGAAACTGTGAAGTCAGGAGTGATAGTACATGCCTATAATCCCAGATACAAAGGAGACAAGGATGGGGAGAATTGTGGTTTGAAGACAACCCAATAAAGAGTTACCAGACCCCATCTCAACCAATATACTAAGCATAGTGGCTTAATTTTGAAGAAGGTGGTAGATAGAAAGACCATGATCCAAGTAGCACTGGCAAAAAAAATTGGGGAAGTATGATTCAAGTGGCAGAGCGGAGGCCTAGCAAACACAGATCCTGTGTTCATGTCCCAGAATACCAATAAGCACATAAATAAGCAAATAAATAAATAAATAAATGGAGGTAAAGGTTGGGTTGTAGCTAAGTGGTAGATAAGTAATCTGCCTGAGAAAAACAAGACTCTGGGCTTGATCTCCAGAGCCACTAACAAAGAAGGCAGTCTGAGACTGGTAATCCTAGCTAGTCAGGAGGCTGAGATCTAAGGGTTGTAGTTGGAAGCCACCCTGGGCAGGAACAGGGAAGTCCATGAAATGATTATCTCCAACTAACCACTAAAAATGCTGGCAGTAGAGCTGTACCTCAGTCTTAAATAGAAAAAGCTAAAGGAAGCCAGGTACTAGTGGCTCATGCCTTGTAATTTTAGCTACTCAGGAGGATTGTGGTTCAAAGCTAGCCTGGGCAGGAAAGTTCATGAGTCAGTCTCAGGCCCGCTCTCTCTCTCTCTCTCTCTCTCTCTCTCTCTCTCTCTCTCTCTCCCTCTCCTTCCTCCCCCCCCTCTTCCTCCCTCCCCCATCCCCCCCTACCAGTTCCAGGGCTTGAACTCAGGCCTGGATGCTGTCCCTGAGCCTCTTCACACTCAAGGCTAGTGCTCTACCACTTGAGCCACAGAACCACTTCCAGCTTTCTGAGTAGTTTTTTGGAGATAAGAGTCTCTTGGCCATTTCTGTCCAGGCTAACTTTGAACCTCAATCCTCAGATCTCAGCCTCCTAAGTAGCTAGGATTACAAGTGTGAGACTCTTTTTTTTTTGGGGGGGGGGGGTCCGGTTGTGGGGCCTGAACTCTGGGCCTGGGCGCTGTCCCTCAGCTCTTTAGCTCAAGGCTAGCGCTCTACCACTTGAGCCACAGTGCCACTTCCGGTTTTTTTCTTTTTGCTTACGTGGTGCTGAGGAATCGAACCCAGGGCCTCATGCATGCAAGGCAAGCGCTTTACCACTGAGCCACCTTCCCAGCCCAAGTGTGAGACTCTTATCTCCAATAAACTACTTAGAAAAGGCCAGAAGTGGTATAGCACTAGCCTTGAGCCAGAGAAGATCAAGGACAGTGCCCAGGCCCTGAATTCAAGCCCCAATACAGGCAAAAGAAGAAGAAGAAAGGAGACAAACAGGCAAAAAGAAAAATTAAGTATACCTATCTTGGGGTTCATTTCACTTAGCATCATCTCATATTGTCATTCTGGTAAGATTATCCTAGATGTATACTAGTTATTGCAAATAAGGAAACCATGGGACCTATGTTTCTTTGTGTCTGGTTTACTTCACTTAATAGAATTTTTTCCAGGTCTTTCCATTTCCTAACAAATGGAGCAATGTCATTCTTTCTGATGGAGGCATAGAATTCCATTGTGGTGTGTGTGTGTGTGTGTGTGTGTGTGTGTGTGTGTGTGTGTGTGTGTGTGTGTGTGTGTTATCACATTTTCTTGATCCATTCATCTACTGAGGGGCATCTGGGTTGGTTCCATATCTTAGCTATGATGAATAATGCTGCCATAAACAGTTGTGCTGGTAGCTTTTAGTATGGTCTTGTTTGTTGCTGTTGTTTTTAATGTACTATGTGATTTTTTTTGTTTCTTTTGTGTGTTTTCCCCCCCTATGGTAAAACCCCTGTTGTCACTGTATTTGATTCCAGTGCCCTACATCTTGTATATACATTTTTCTAATTTGGGGAGGAAAAGGGAAATAACAAAATGTTTAAATAGGGATACAGGTTGACCCATTGTAACAATGAGATGTACAAGACACTATGTTGAAAACAAACTTTACAACTTGGGGGAGAGGGAGGAGTTGGGAAGGTGGGGAGGGAAAGGATAATAGGGAAAAAACAAAGGAGGGGGAAACAATGCCTAATAGGAAATGTACTCATTACCTTATTCATGTAACTGTAACCCCTCTGTACAGTAGCTTTACAATAAAAATATTTTTAAAAAAAGAAAGAAAAATTAAGTAGCCTGGTGCTGGTGGTTCATGCCTATAATCCTAGCTACTCAGGAGGCTGAGATCTGAGGATAGTGGTTCAAAAGCCAGCCCAAGCAGGAAAATCCGTGAGACTCTTATCTACAATTAACCACCAGAAAACCGGAAGTGACAATCTGTGGCTCAAGTGGTAGAGCTCTTGCCTTGAGCTGAAGAGCTGAGGGACAGCGCCCAGGCCCAGAGTTCAAGACCCATGACCAAAAAAAAAAAAAAAAAAAAAAAAGAATTAAGTAGTTAGACAACAGTAGCTCATGCCTATAATCCCAGCGCATCAGGTGTCTAAGATCTGTGGTTCAATACCTATGGTTCATCTCTATGTCTAAAGATCTTAGAAAAAAATCATATGCCCTGACCCTCTTCCTATCTAGCTCCTGTACCCTCTCCCTTTCTGACATTTTGTTCTGGAGCTTTCAGAAGCAGAGAATTAACCCAAATAGCCTACTGACATTTCTTTCTGCTTCCTTCTTCCATTTACTCATATTTTGCAGTCACTTCCCTGACCTTGCTAGTTACACAATTTCCTTTGCCTTGCAGTTTCTAAAAAAGGAAAGTTAGGCAGAACATATAGATTTTAAAAGCATACTAGCAGAATACACTAAATTCTAACTTTTTTTTTTTTTTGGTCATGGGGCTTGAACTCAGGGCCTGGGTGCTTAAATTATTCAAAATATTTCCCACTTTGCACCTAACCAAATGGAAGCCTTTATATACATGTGACATAGGAGGGTTTGAGAAATTCTAGTGATAACCACTATCACCTGCCACAGAATTCACTGGAAAGCTGAGAGTACAGTAACGATTAGAAGCCTGGTGGAATTTGAAAGTGTGACATTTTGTTTCACTTTTTTGAGATAAGATCTTGCTAGGTAGCTCAGGCTGGATTTGAACTCACTTTTTGGCTCCACGTCCCAAGCACTGAGATTACAGTGTGGTGTTTACAACATAGAGATTACAACTGTGGTGTTCTTGAGGAGCAAGACATTAAGAAACTGGTAGAGAGTGAGGTAAGGGGTGACATTGTCCAAATAGAAATGTACTCTTTACTTGACTTACATAACTTTAATCATTCTGCACACCACCTTAATAATGACAATTAAAAAATTTGAAAAGCTGTTTAGTCTTGCTGATAGGAAGCCACCATAAAATGCTAATGAGGAAACAGTCCAGATGTTCTCTAGTTCTCCTTGTTTCTAGTTGCGCTACATTCTCCACTCTTGCAGATGGGAGAGCCTGTGTGACTATTCTCAATACAAGATGATTGTAACCTTCAATAAACCTCTGCAGTGGGCTCAGGATATTGGTAGGTCTGATTCTTCCTGCAGGCTGGAGCTGAGAGTCCACTTCTTTTCTGCCTCTTAAATTCCTTGGTTTATGACCCTTCCTGTATCACTCCCATATCTTCAACTTTACAGTTTATACTTAATCTTTATTTTTTCTTTTTTTTAATTGTGAAAATACTGTACAGAGGGGTTACAATTACATGAGCAAGGCAATGAGTACATTTCTTATCAAGCATTGTTGCCTCCTTCTTTGTTTTTCCCCTACCATCCCTTTCCTTCCCATCTCCACAACTACACTCCCCCCACCCCCCAGTTCCCCCACCCCCCACCTAAATTGTAAAGTTCATTTTTCGACATAGCATCTTGTACATCTCATTGTTGCAATGGGTCTACCTGTATCCCCATTTAAACAATTTGTTTTTTCCCTTCCCCTCCCCAAATTATACCAACATCAAATACAGTGAAAACAGGGGTTATACTGTGGGGAGGGACATACAAAGCATCAAAAAATCACGTGGTACATTATAAATACATTAGAAACAACAACAAGAAAGAAAAAACCACTTGTGTCCTTATCTTGGGGTTCATTTCACTTAACATCATCTTATCTGACCTTTTCTGCTTGTCTCAGATACTCTTTATTTTATTTTATTTTTTATTGTCAGTCATGGGGCTAGAACTCAGGGCCTGAGTGCTATCCCTGAGCTCTGTATAGTGGTGTTCTTTTTTCTTCCTTCCTTCATGTACTTATTTAATTTACATGCCTGTATTGGAGTTTGAATTCAGAGTTTGGGCACTGTTTTTTTAGCTCTATCACTCAAGGCTATATCACTTTACAACCTGAGCTACAATTACACTTCAGGCTTTTTGGTAGTTAATTGGAGTTAAGAGTCTCAAGGATTTACCTGCCCAGACTGGCTTCAAATGGTAATCCTCAGATCTCAGCCTCCTGAATAGCTAGGATTACAAGCATGAGCCACCTATGCCTGGCTCTTTATTTTGTTTCTGTGTATTAGTGGTACAAGAGAGGGTTTCATTATGACATTTCCATATATGCATAGAATGTACCCTGATCAAATTCACTCTGTCTATCACTGAAGAACTTTCATTTCTACATATGGAAGTTACTCAATACAAGGTTTACTAGGAGGACCTGCTGATTCCGTTTCTTCTGATTTTGAGGACTGGAAAGGTTAGGGAAGCTTCAGGACCTCCATCTTAACCCAGGGAAAGAGAGACCTTCCTCTGCCTGACAGATGAAGAAGAGGACAACCTCCCCTTTCATACCCATCCCAGAGTTCTGAAATGGGAAGCCGGACCACAGCCTCCCCTTACATCAACACTTACGGCAACTTGTGGCTGAGACAGTTCCCTCCCTGCATCCTTCTATCCTACTTCCACTTTTCTGTCTCCCAGTTCCTCCTGGGTGCAAAAGCCTGTGGCTTCTCCATCCAGCCATCTTCTCACATGTTGAGCTGTCCTGCAAGCAAGGGCAAGAGATGGCTTCCTTTTGTCCTGAGGCTGCTAACCTCTTCTCTTAGCCTAGAAAGGGGAGTCTTGGAACAAAATTTAGAAACACATTGAAGGGCTGGGAAGGTGGCTCAGTGGTAGAGTGCTTGCCTTGCATGCCTGAGGCCCTGGGTTCGATTCCTCAGCACCACATAAACAGAAAAAGCCGGAAGTGGTGCTGTGGCTCAAGCAGTAGAGCGCTCGCCTTGAGCTGAAGAGCTGAGGGACAGCGCCTAGGCCCAGAGTTCAGGTCCACGACCGGCAAAAAAAAAAAAAAGAAACACATTGAAATCTCTTGTCTTACTATTAAAAAGAAACATGTCCCATCCTGGGCATTGGTGGCTTATACCTCTAGTTACTCAGGAGACAGAAATGAGGATTGCAATTGGAAGCTGGCACAGCACAGACAAGAAAGTCCATGAGAAATGACTCAAATGGTAGATGTCTTGAAGAAAAAGTTAAGGGACAGCACCCAGGCCTTGAGTCTTAAGGCCCTGTATCAGCACCAAAGCAAAATAAACAATTCCCATTTCATTAATCAGTGGCAAATGCAAGCCTCAAATGTAGTTTTGTGTGGCTCACGTCTTTGTATTTGAAAAGCATTTTTTAGCTTTTTCTGTTCCAGGTTAGCCTTGCTTTATATTTTCCAGCTTTCAAATTGCATTTTATTGCAATACAATGGAAGCTATTTGTTGAGATCTTTTGTTGTTGTTGGTGGTGGTGGTGGTCATGGGGCTTGAACTCATGGGGCCTGGGCACTATCCCTCAGCTCTTCAGCTCAAAGTGAGCATTCTACCACTTGAGCCACAGCAACACTTCTGGTTTTCTGGTGGTTTATTGGAGATAAGAGTCTCATGGACTTTCCTGCCCAGGCTGGCTTTGAACCGCTATTCTCAGATCTTAGCCTCCTGAGTAGCTAGGATTACAGGCATGAGCCACCAGCACCAGCGTTGAGAGTTTTATTAAGGACAGCTTCCTAGGCTACTGCTACAGGAACTCATTACTGCCATGGAGAACATTTTAAGTCTTTTGGAGCTTTGGTTGGCCCTGGGTTTCTGCATCATCCTATCTACTCTGAACTTTTTCCCTTTGTAAACCAACATGTGTGGAATCATCTGAATTTACATACTGAGTCATATCCAGTATCTGTACTTCACCACTAGAACCCAGGTAGCAGATAGCCTGCTGAACCATGAGTTCCTTAGCCCTAGAGTTTAGATTTCCCAGAATCCTTTGCATCAAGAATTAGGCGTGTTGGGGCTGGGAAGGTGGCTCAGTGGTACTAGAGTGCTTACCTTGCATGCATGAGGCCCTTGGTTCGATTCCGTAACACCACACACTCAAAAAGCCAAAAGAGGTGCTGTGGCTTAAGTCGTAGAACATTTGTTAGCCTTGAGCTGAAGAACTAAGGGACAGCGCCCAAGCCCAGAGTTCAGGCCCCATGACTGACCAAAAAAAAAAAAAAAAGAATGGGGCATGTGACAATTTGGGCAGCAGCCATGTCCCTGATGTCAAGCTTGGCCCATGAAGCTTCCAACTTGATGTTTGTGGCCACACTCTAATGCTCTAGGGCAGCAAGCTTAATTATTTTGTGCAGTTCATCTCTTTCAGAAAATGGACTTTTTTTTTAACTTTTTACTTTTTATTTCTTGGTTCAGGTCCTGGGGCTTGAACTCAGGGCCTAAGCACTTGTGCTTGAGCTTTTTTTTTTTTTGCTCAAGGCTAGTATTGTACCACTTGAGCCACAGCTCCATTTTTGGCTTTTTGGTGGTTAATTGAACATAAGAGTGTCAAGACTTTCCTGCCCAGGCTGGCTTTGAACTGCAGTCTTCAGATTGTAGCCTCCTCAGTAGAAACATTATTATTTTCTTTCTTTTTTATGATTTTATTTATTTATTTATTGCCAGTTCTGGGGATTGAACTCTGGGCCTAGGCACTGCTTCTGAGCTCCTTTTTATGCAAGGCTATTGCTCTACCACTTGGGCCATAGTGCCACTTCTAGCTTTTTCTGTGATTCATTGGAGATAAGAGTCTTACAGGCTTTCATGCTCAGCCTGGCTTCAAACAGCGATCCTCAGATCTGTCTCCGGAGTAGCTAGGATTATTGGTGTGAGCAACTGGCATCTGGCAGAAACATTATTTCTTAATAAATATTTTAATTTGGAATAAGTTTAGAGTGACAGAAAAGTTACAAAAATAAAACAGTGTTCATATATTTCTCACTCAGCTTCAATTACCTCTAATGCTAATATGTTAAATTACTGTGGCACATCTGCCAAAACTAAGAGACCATTATTATTAATGGAACTTTAGACTCTTTGGGTTCCATCAGTTTTTCCATTAACATCCTTTTCCTATTTCAGAATCTAATCCAAGATAAGACATTATATTTAGCTGTCTCACAGCTTCCTCTGGTCCACGGTAGCATCTCAGTCATGTTTTTTTTTTTTTTTTTCATAACATTAACTAGATTTTTTTTTGATAGTACTAGGTTTGAACTCAGGACTTAGTGATTACTTGGCAGGTGCTATACTTGAGCCACGCCCCCGCCCAAGTTAATTGCTTTGAAGAATGCTAGTTATATATTTTATAGAAGTCCAGAATAGTCTTTCCAATGTATAGTGTAGGATTTGTAAAGGAAATAAATTATCTGGAAATATAATGTCATTAAAAAGAAGTTCAGGGCTGGACATGTGGCTTAGTGGTAGAATGCATGCCAAGCATGCATGAAGCCCAAGGTTTGATTTCTCAGTACCACATTAAACAGAAAAAACTGGAAGTAGTGCTGTGGCTCAAGTGGTAGAAAGCTAGCCTTGAGTAAAAGAAGCTCAGGGACAGTGCCCAGGCCCTGAGGTCAAGCCCAATGACTGGCAAAAAAAAAAAGAATTGCAAAAAAGAAAAAGAGGAGAGCGCTGGGAAGGTGGTTCAGTGGTAGAGCGCTTGCCTTGCATGCATGAGGCCCTGGGTTCAATTCCTCAGCACCACATAAGCAAAATGAAAAAAGCCGGAAGTGGCGCTGTGGCTCAAGTGGTAGAGCGCTAGCCTTGAGCTGAAAAGCTGAAGGACAGTGCCTAGGCCCAGAGTTCAGGCCCCACAACTGGACCCCCCCCCCAAAAAAAAAAGAAAAAAGATAAAAGAAAAAGAGGAGAGAATTGTACCTCGGCATGGTGGTATTTGCCTATAATCTCAGTTCTCTGGAGGCTGAGGCTGGAGGAATAAGAAGTTCAGGGCTTCATAATAACACTGTCTCAAAGAGAAAAAAAAAGTGATACAATTATATATGTACTTTCTAAAATGAACATATTGGATAACTAGCCATAACAATGGGAAAAACAAAGCCAGGAACTAGTGGCTCATGCCTGTAATCCTAGCTACTCAAGAGGTTGAGATCTGAGGATTACAGTTCAAAGCCAGCCTGGGCAGGAAAGTCTGTGAAACTCTTATCTCCAATTATCCACCAGAGAATTGGAAGTGGCGCTGTGGCTCAAGTGGTAGAGTGCTCAAGTTGAACTGAAGAGCTGAGGGACAGAGCCTAGGCCCAGAGTTCAAGGCCCATGACCAAACAAAAACAAAAACAATGAGAAAACAATATGTAGAATGACTTTTTTTTTTTTTTTGGCCAGTCATGGGCCCTGAACTCTGGGCCTGGTCACTGTCCCTCACCTCTTCAGCTCAAGGCTAGTGCTCTACCACTTGAGCCATAGCACCACTTCTGGCTTTTTCTGCTTATGTGGTGCTGAGGAATCGAACCCAGGGCCTCATGCATGTAAGGCAAGCACTCTACCACTGAGCCACCTTCCCAGCCCTAGAATAACTATTTTTTTCAAACAGTGGTGAGACTTTAATATATAACAATATCTGTGATTTTTCCTGGTGACAATCCTTGGGTAATACTGCTGTGGTTTGGTTTGTTGACTATAGTAAAGGCCAAAGAAATTTTATACATACATATATACATATATATTATTGTAGAATTCATATACAGAGGGGTTACAGTTACATGAATCAGATAATGAGTAATGAGTACAATTCTTTTTTTTTTTTTTTAAGAAGTTTACTTATTTTATTTTATTTTTTGGGTCCGGTGGTGGGGCCTGAACTCTGGGCCTGGGCACTGTCCCCCAGCTCTTCAGCTCAAGACTAGTGCTCTACCACTTGAGCCACAGCGCCATTTCCGGCTTTTTTCTTTTTGTTTATGTGGTGCTGAGGAATTGAACCCAGGGCCTCAGGCATGCAAGGCAAGCGCTCTACCACTGAGTCACCTTCCCAGCCCCCTACTTATTTTTTTTGATGGTCGTGGGGCCTGAACTCTGACCCTGGGCACTGTCCCTGAGCTCTTCAGCTCAAGGATAGTGCTCTACCACTACAGCCACAGCACCACTTCCGGCTTTTTTTGTTTTGTTTCGTTTTTGCTTATGTGGTACTGAAGAATTGAACCCAGGGCCTCATGCATGAGATGCAAGCATTCTACCACTGAGCCAAATTCCCAGTGCATGAGTACAATTCTTTTTGAACCATGTCTCACCTTTTATCACTCTCTCCCAGTCTTTCCCTCCTTAATACATCCAATTCATTCTCTATACAGTGTCTAGTGAACATCACTGTTGTATTTATTCACCCTTGTTCCACCTTTTATGTGCCCTTCCTTACCCTCTGAAATACAAAGTAACAAACAAGACAAAAGGAAAAGAAAACTAAAACAGTAACAATGGCAGCTAAAGAATGTCTCGTTCCTTTTTCTTGGAGTTCATTTCATAGAATATTATTTTATATGGTCATCTGTACATAGCTCCACTCCTATGCATAGATTCCTTTGGCCTGTTAATGACCTGCATCCAATATAATTTATCATATCCCATGTTATTTATTTATTTTAATCATTAAATGTGTTTACTTGTAGATTTATAGTCACATCCTAGTTACCACAAATGAGGTAAACCATGAAGCTTATGTTTCTTTGACTCTGGCTTACTTAGCTTAATATAATATTTTCCAAGTCTTTCCATTTCCTTACAAATGGTGCAATATCATTCTTTCTCATGGATGGGTAGAATTCTATTGTGTGTGTGTGTGTGTGTGTGTGTGTGTGTGTGTGTGTGTGTGTGTGTACTGCATTTTCTTGATCCATTTATCCAGCCAGAGAAAATTTAGATGTACACTTTTTTGGTTTTTGAAGGGCATGGGAGCTGTCCCTGAGCTTTTGTGCTAAAAGCTAACCTGCTACCACTTTAGGCACAGCTCTATGGGTGGCTTTTTGGTGGTTAATTGGAGATAGGAGTCTCATGGACTTTCCTGCTCAGGCTGGCTTTGAACTGTGATCCTCAGATCTCAGCTTCCTGCATAGCTAAGATTACAGGTGAGAGCCACTGGTACCTGGCTTTAAACATACACTTTTTTCTCCCATCTAAGTCCACATATTCCCTGAATTCTGGTGCCTCCTTCTATAATTATCCAAAACACATAGCAAAACCACAGATGAGAAGAGCCTGAGTTACTAAATAACTCCACAGAACTAGGACTCTTTTCTTGGACTTCAGTACTAAATTCACTTCCATATGTAAGAAATAAATGAGGCCAGGCACCAGTGGTTCACATCTATAATCTTAGCCCCAGGATTGGCACAAAAATAAATAAATAAATGTTGCAAAATTTACATTAAAATAACTAGATTCCATCTTAATCTCTCAAGCTGTTGCTAAATTAGCACTACCAATTGAACCATGCCTGCAGCATAATCGTTTGCTGGTTAATTGGAGATAAACGTTCAGACTTCTGGGCCTGAACTAGTTTTGAATCAAAACCCTCCAGATCTTAGTCTCCTAAGTTGCTAGGATTACAGGTATGATCCACAGTATCAGCTTCCATCATACCCTTAAAAAAAATTATTCAATGAATCTTTTCTTCATTGCCTATACGGTGGTAGGCATTGTCTAGGTTTAGAAAAGTTATACAGGAAAATAGACATTATATTCAATGTTGTGGCAGTGTGACTTAGAAATTTCTAGAGTAATTTGGGAATATTCTTATAAAGCTTTTGACCTAATAATAATAGCACATCTAGTTGGGCACCAATGCCTCAAGCCTTTAATCCAAGCTACTCAGGAGGCTAAGATCTGAGGATGGTTCCAAGCCAGCCGAAATAGAGGTATGGCTCAAGTGGTAGAGCACTAGTCTTGAGCACAAAAGCTGAAGGACAAAGGCCCTGAGTTTAAGTTTAAGTCCCAAAAAAAAAGCTCATCTAGAAAACAATCAGGGATATTTTCTGACTTTTTTCTTTGCTGGTACTAGGGCTTGAACTCAGGGCTTCGAGGCTCTTGCTCAGCTTTCTTGCTCATGATTTGTGCTCTACCACTTGACCCATACCTCCATCCTGGTTTGGTTTTTTTTGGGTCCAGTCGTGGGGCCTGAACTCTGGTCCTGGGCACTGTCCTTCAACTTTTCAGCTCAAGGCTAGCGCTCTACCGCTTGAGCCACAGCACCACTTCCAGCTTTTTTCTTTTTGCTTATGTGGTGCTGAGGAATCGAACCCAGGGCCTCATGCATGCAAGGCAAGCGCTCTACCACTGAGCCACCTTCCTGGCCCCCATCCTGTTTTATTTTTTATTTTTGGTCAGTCATGGGGCTTGAACTCTAGGCCTGAGCACTGTCCCTCAGCTCTTCAGCTCAAGGCTAGCACTCTACCACTTGAGCTACAGCGTCACTTCCGGTTTTCTGGTGGTTTATTGGAGATAGGAGTCTCACAGTCTTTCCTGCCCGGGCTGGCTTTGAACCATGATCCTCAGATCTCAGCCTCCTGAATAGCTAGGATTACAGGCGTGAGCCACCAGGGCCCGGCTGATAATTTATTTTTTATTGCTTGAGTCATTTGTTCAGAAAGGAAAGCTCAGGTTTACATTACAGTTTTATTATTTCAAGAATAGAGTTTTCTCCTCAAGTAAGTATTTTGCTATGAATTATCACTGCAGTAATCATCATGTTTTATTCCGAATTTTCGTTGTAGTACTAGTATTTTGAATCTTGATCTTTTTTTTATATAATTGGTGACTTTAAAGTTTGACTTTGAGATTTATAATGTTTCTGGACTTTGTTAAGATGTTTAAAACCCTTGGGTAATAATTAGAGATTTGTAAGGTAATTTTATATGGCACTTCTCAACCTTAGTCCACCAGGTCAAAATTGACCCTCCAATCAGTTGTACATAAATCCAGATATTTAAGTTGATTAACTTCTCTTTTGAAGCTGAAGAGGAGCTTTTAGGCATTTACTTCAATCAAAAAACAAATCAGTGCTGGGCACTTGTAGCTCATGCCTGTAATCCTAGCTACTCAGAAGGCTGACATCTGAAGATCACAGTTATAATCAGACTGGGCAGAAAAGTCCATTAGACTCTTATCTCAATTAACCACCAGAAAACTGGAAGTGGTACTGTGGCTCAAAGTGGTAGAATGCTAGCCTTGAGTGTAAAAAGCTCAGGGACAGAGTCCAGGCCTCAAGTTCAAGCCCCATGACCAACAGAAAAAGAACAAATCAGAAGGGAATATTGACACTTTCTTTGTGCCAGTACAGGGATTTGAATTCAGACCCTGGGTACTGTCCCTTAGCTTTTTCACTTAAGGTTGGGCATTCTACCACTTAAGCCACAGCTCCATTCAGACTTTTTGATGGTTAATTGGAAATAAGAGTTTAATGATTTTTGTGCCTAGGCTGGCTTCAAACAGCAATCCTCAATCTCAGCTTTCTGGAAGGAGTTAGGATTACAGGTGTGAACTACTGGACCACTTTCTATTATTAAAAAATCACTATAAGATTTCTCATAAAGCTACATTACTCTTCATTGACACTACATGATGCCTCATGACTCCCAGTGAAAAGGGTCACTGTAGTAGTAACAGAAACAAAAGACAAAGAAAAAGAGAGTAACCTGCCTGTGTTTGGGACAGTAATTTAATCTGTCTGTGTCAGTTTTCCATACATACAAAATAAAAGCTGCAAGAAGTATTTTGATTTTTTTTTTTTTTTTTTTGCTGGTCCTGGGGCTTAATCTCAGGACCTGGGCACTGTTCCTGAACTTCTTTTGCTCAAAGGGTAGTAATATACCACTTGAGTCCCAGTTCCACTTCTAGCTTTTTCTGTGATTAATTTCCTACCGAGATCCTCAGATCTCAGATTCCTAGTAACTAGGATTACATGTGAGAGCCATTAGCACCTGCCTGCACAAGTTTTTGGTTTTTTTTTTTTTGTCGGTCGTGGGGCTTGAACTCTGGGCCTGGGTGTTCTGCACAAGTTTTTAATGGAAATATTTGTAGGTTTACTATTATTGTTTAGAGAACTTCAATTCAGTAAGTTCAGATGGAGAGCCTGATAAATTAGGCAAGGATTCCAATGTATAAGGTATAGAATTGTAGGCTGAAGAATTTGACCATTATAGAATGAAAGCTTGTAAAGATTATTGAGCAGAAAAAGTAGCATAATCATTCATATCTGAGTTGTAGGAGGAAAACTGACAGCAGTGTGTAAAATAGAGAGAGGGGCTGAGAATGTGGCTTAGTGATAGAGTGCCTGCCTAACATGCATGAAGCCATGGATTCAATTCCTCAGTACCACATGAACAGTAAAAGCTGGAAGTAGAGCTGTTGGCTCAAGTGGTAGAGTGTTAGCCTTGAGCAAAAAAGCTCAGGAACAGTGATCAGGTCCTGAGATCAAGCCCCAGGACTGGCATAAATAAGGTGAATCAGTGGTAGAGTGCTTGCCTTGCATGCATGAGGCCCTGGGTTCGATTCATCAGCACCACATAAGCAGAAAAATCCAGAAGTGGCGCTGTGGCTCAAGTGCTAGAACACTAGCCTTGAGCCTTGAGCTGAGGGACAGTGCCCAGGCCAACTGACAAAAAATAAATACATACATACATACATACATACATACTTACATACATACGGGAGATATATGAAAAGTAAGAAAAAATAGGAAGTAGACTCATGCCAACTCAGGAGGCTCTGATTTTAGGATTGTGGTTCAAAGGCAGCCCAGACAGGAAAATCCATGAGACTCTTATCTCCAATTAACTAATAAAAATTAGGAAATGGCTGTGACTCACAGTGGTAGAGCACTAGCCTTCAGCACAAAAGCTCAGGGCAGAACCCATGCCTTGAGTTCAAACCCCAGGACTGGCACAAAAAAGAAATAGAGCCGGGTGCGGGTGGCTCACGCCTGTAATCCTAGCTACTCAGGAGGCTGAGATCTGAGGATCTCAGTTCAAAGCCAGCCCAGGCAGGATATGCGGTGAGACTCTTATCTCCAATAAACCACTAGAAAACCGGAAGTGGGGCTGTGGCTCAAGTGGTAGAGAGCTTGCCTTGAGCTGAAGAGCTGAGGGACAGCGCCCAAGCCCAGAGTTCAAGCCCCATGACCAACAAAACAAAAAACAAAAAAAAAAAAGAGATAGAAAGAAAGAGAGAAAGGAAGGAAGGAAGGAAGAAAGAAAGAAAGAAAGAAGGAGGGAGGAAGCTGGGTGCCATTGGCTCATGCCTGTAACCTTAACTGCTCAGGAGGCTGAGATCTGAGAATCACAGTTCAAAGCCAGCCTAGATAGAAAAGTCTGTGCGACTCTTATCTCCAATTAATCATGGAAAAATCCAGAAGTGGTGCTGTGACTCAAGTGGTAGAGTACTAGCCTTGAGCAAATAGGAGCTCAAGGATAGCACTCAAGCCCAGAATTGAAGCCCCAGCACTGGCAAAAAAAAAAGAAAAGAAAAGAAAAGGAGTTAGTGGCAGTGGTGTTTGGCTTAATCCCAGAACTCAAGAGGTTAAGACAAAAAGATCTTAAGTGCCAGGCCTGTCTGGGCTGTACAAAGACAAAGAGCTAAGTGATTATTGATTGACTGTGGTTCCAAGTCAGCCCCAGGCAGGAAAGTCTGTGCAACTCTTATCTCCAATTAACCACCAAAAAAGCCAGAAGTGGAAATGAGGCTCTAGTAGTAGTAGTAGCACTACAGCCCTGAGAAAAAAGGCCCAGGGATGGTGCTCAGGCCTTGAGTTCAAGCTTCAGTACAAGCATGTCTGCACACACACATACACACACACACACACACACACACACACACACACACACACACACACACACACACACGAGATCAATGAGATTATTGAAAATGTCCATAGGAGATGCTGAAGGTTATTGCTACAGAAAGGTGGGAAATGGGACCGCGTGGAGAAGAGAGAATTAGCTGTAGAGCAAGAGTAATTGATTCGATATGAGGAGTGAGAAAGGTTTTGAGTAGGACTGAGGTTTTTGGCTTAAACATAAAATGCTGATGTCATTAATGGAATTGAATTGCATTAGGGAATCAGGAATTATTCTCCCTGTTCTAAGAACCGCTCATTTTTATGGTGCTCCATCATTAGCACCTCAAACCCTGAGGTAGTTATTACCTCTTCGGCAGTAAAAACTTGATTATAGTCCCTGCTTTCTTACTACGTGAAGGCCCTTGGTTCCTGCAACTTCCATCGGCAAAATATTAATTGTGATTAATTATCATGACGAGATGATTTACTGTGGTTTCGTGAAGGTGCAGGCCAGGTTTTCTGCCAGAGCCCTTAGGGCACAAGAACTGGACAGCTCCCCCTCAAGGGTGGCCTTCCACGGTCTGAGCTGGCCAAGCCGCGAGTTGCCTCCAGCATGACGATCCGGATCTGCGAGCCCTCCCTGATTTAGGAGCCTGCACCTTGCGTCGAGATACCAGGAGTCCGCCTTTCTCCCTCACAGACCCCGCCCTCGCGCGCGAAGGGGCGGGGCTACTTCGTGCCCCGCCTCCAGCCCTGGCCCCGCCCCGCGTTGCCGGCTCCGTCTCACTGGCGGTGCGTGCGCGCCTGCGCTGGTCCTCGTCTCGGAGCAGCCATGATGGTGGGTGTTCTCAGCGGTGTCGATCCCCGGGCGCGCGGTGGGGGCGGCTGGCGCGGGGCGGGCGCGGGGAGTGCGCCGGCCTGACATTAATGTCTCCCTTTGTATCTTCCCCTTTCTATCCTCTCCCCGACGCGTCGGGCCCGCCGCCGACCCAGCAGGAAGGCCTGGACGACGGCCCCGACTTCCTCTCAGAGGAAGACCGCGGAGTAAGTTCTGGTTCTTTCTCTCACGCAGAAAGCCCCCCTCCCCCCCAGCCCCTACTCAGCTCCCCCGGTGCGGTGTGCGCAGGGGGCTCGGGCTGCGCAGCCCTCGGTCGGAATCGTCCTTTCGGTTTCCCCGGCCGCATCGCGCCCCGCCCTCCCGCAGCCCTTCCTCCCTGGGGGCCGCCGTGTTCCTGATTTCCCGGGGACCCACGGCCGCTTTTTTCTTGTCTCGGCCCGGCCTCGGACCCCGTCGTGAGCACCCTCTTCCCCTCCCTCCCCCCCCTCCCCCCGGCAGGGTGCAAGTGGGGACGTGGAGGCTGGAGCTAGAACGCCCTCAGTCTTGCCACTTGGGGCCGAGAAAACCCAATCTCAGACCTTCCCAGCGGCACCCGTCATTTGCTCCTTAAGGACCTCGCGAAGTCCCTTCTGTCCACCCTGTTCTGTGTCTAGAGGAGACATTCACATCGCCCCTTGGCAAGGATCTTGACAGTCACCAGATCTCAGCAGTACTAAATTGTTCTACCAGATTTTACCCAGTGCTAGAGACCGTAGCCTGCGCTGATCCTCGCTACTTTTTCTGATAACCACCCACCCCTCCCCCCATCCTTTGCAGGGTTCCCTCTACCTTTATGGAGATACGTCTGACAAATTATAAGACTATTTTCCAGCGTGACATTCTGACACATTGTAAAATGATTGCCTCACCTGGTTGTCCTTTTATCCCTCCCCTCCACCCTTTCTTTCTTTCTTTTTTTTGGGGGGGGATGATGAGAACACTTGAGAGCTACTCTCAGCAAGTTTTAAGTATACATTATTATTAAATATAATCACCATGTTCGACATTAGGTATCCAGAACTGAACCGTCTTATAACTCAGTTTGTACCCTTTGACCAGTGTCCTTCCTTATCCTCACCCGATGCCTCCTATCCTGTCCTGGTAACTACTGTTATACCTTTGGTGTCAGAAATCCTTTAACATTTCTGATTGCGCCCCCTCAGCTATCCTTAAACCCCTATTTGCCTTGGGTGAAGTATGGTAATGTGTATAGTGCCTTGTCTGAATAATCACAGCAAACTTCTGTGGTTTTCTTTCCACTTCAGTTTTCCATTTTGCTTTTATTTATCCTAAATAGTGTGAGAGATACATTTGATTAGTAGATATTTTTGGTAGGTGACAAGACGTGGTAGGATATTGTTGTTTGTAATAGGAGATGAGGTAGTGGACATTAACTGATGACCTTTATCACTAAAGCTCTCAGGTAGTAATAAAGAGGCAGAGGATGTTGCATACTTAAAAAAAAATCAACCACACTGGCTGGGAAGGTGGCTCAGTGGTAGCGTGCTTGCCTTGCATGCATGAGGCCCTGGGTTCGATTCTCAGCACCACATAAGCAAAAAGAAAAAAGCCGGAAGTGGCGCTGTGGCTCAAGTGGTAGAGCACTAGCCTTGAGCTGAAGAGCTGAGGGACAGCGCCCAGGCCCAGAGTTCAGGCCCATGACCAGACCCAAAAAAAAAAAAATCAACCACAAATTAGCCTTTTCTGTACAAAGAAGCATTGTTTATCATTTAGACTTTCTGGTTAGGTCAAAAACATAGAATTTGTAGATTCTAAAATTTAATGTCCTGGCTTGTCACCAATGATCCATACCTGTAATCTTAGCTAGTGTTTGAGGATTTCGGTTCAAAGCCAGCCTGGACAAAAAGTCTGTGAGACCTTTGAGTTGAATAGCAAAATAAAAATGTCAGGGCCTGGGCACAATCCCTCAGCTCTTCAGCTCAAGGCTGGCGTTCTACCACTTGAGCCAGAATGTCACTTTTGGTTTTCTAGTGGTTAATTGGAGATTAGAGTCTCCTGAGCTGGCTTTGAATTGCTATCCTCAGATCTCAGCCTCCTGAGTAGCTAGAATTACAGGTGTGAGCCACCAGTGCCGGGCAAGTTGTTTTTGTTTTTTAAATATTTGCATTGTTGGAGTAGAAAGTAGAATATTTTCTCCCTTTCTTTGTTCTTGTTTTGCATTACTGCAAATTGAACCCAGGACCTAGTGCATGCTGGGCAAGTGCCCTATCATTCAAGTCAAATCCCCAGCCAAGCCTGTTTACTTTTTTTTTTTGGTCAGTCATGGGTCTTGAACTCTGGGCCTGGGCATTGTCTCTCAGCCCTTCAGCTCAAGGCAAGTGCTCTACCACTTGAGCCACAGTGCCACTTCTGGTTTCCTGGTGGTTTATTGGAGATAAGAGTCTCATGGACTTCCCTGCCCAGATTGGCTTTGAACCCAGATCTTTAGATCTCAGCCTCCTGAGTAGTTAGGATTACAGGCACGAGCCACCATTGCCTAGCTTATTTTTTCATTTTTTTTTAGAGATGGCGTGGCTAACTTTGCCCTGACTGGTCTCCAACATATAGTCCTTCTGTCTCCACCTACCTTTTATTATTATTGCCTAGCTTATTTTTTTATTTTTTTTTAGAGATGGCGTGGCTAACTTTGCCCTGACTGGTCTCCAACATATAGTCCTTCTGTCTCCACCTACCTTTTATTATTATTATTATCTTTAATAATAAGAAGTTCCCATTCTACAAAATAGTATATGAATACAAAGTGTCTGATAACATTGTCACCCATCGCTCCTAACCCAGGCCTTCTCTCACTTTTCTTCCTTTTTGTTTTTTGAGATTAGGTGATTACATAAATTTCACATATTTCACAGTATTGTGGATAGTGATACTTGGTTAAAGTCACAAACACATTTTAACCTTCACAAGGCAAATTGTCATTGTCATGGTCTATAAAGTTTGTGAATTCTAGGAGCTTTGACAATACCGTTATTTCTTCCACATCAGGTAATACATTTCTTTCCTTTTGCTTAGTGTAAACTGTTCCTTCTTTCCCTCTCATTCCTCCCTTCCATTCAGTGTCTGTCTCTGTCTTTCTAACACCTAATATTACAGATGTGCATCACCACACCAAGTAAAAGTAGAATATTTTCTGATGAATATTAGTGTTAATGGCGTTATGCTTTTGTAAAAAAAAAAAAATGCTAATAGAAATAAAAACTTAAGTAACATGTCTGTAAACTTTTTTCACATGTTGTAAAGTTAAGCAGGGAGGAATAGAAAGAGCATGCTTTACCAGGAAAGTCATACTGAATTTTTTTTTGGCCAGTCCTGGAGCCATGGACACTGTCCCTGAGTTGCTGCTTTTTATTTTTTTTTTGCCAGTACTGGGCACTTGAACTCAAGGCCTGGGCACTGTCTCTGAGCATTTTGTTCAAGGCTAATACCGTACCAGTTGAGCCTCAGTGCCATTTCTGGCTTTTTCTGTTTATGTGGTATTGAGGAATCAAACACAGGGCTTCATGCATGTGAGGTGAGTATTCTCCCACTACGCCACTTTCCCAGTCTGTGTTACTGAATCTTACAGTTGAAACTGTTTTTTGTTTTTTTTTGGATGGTCATGGGGCTTGAAATCTGGGCTTGGGTGCTGTTCCTGTGCTCTTTAGCTCAAGGTGATGAGTGTTCTACCACTTGAACCACAGTGCCACTTCTGGTTTTCTGAGTGGTTTATTGGAGATAAGTCTCACAGACTTTCCTGCCCAGGCTGGCTTTGAATCATGATCCTCAGATCTCAGCCTCCTGAGTAGCTAGGATTACAGGCGTGAGCCACTGGTGCCTGGCACAGATTGAAACTTATCTAGGAACATAGCTTAGTGACAGAGTGCATGGGAAGGTCTTAGACTTGATCCTTAAAAAGTAAAACAACAACAAAAATAATATGAGTTAAAAAGCTTTTAGAATTTCATGTGGATATGTTCAGTTCGTATTTTTGTTCAGTAGAACTGAATGAATCATAGTAATAATTATAGCATGGTGATGTGGTAAGCATTGTTTAAGGTCCTCTCATTCATCTGAACCTTAATGCCCCCCTTTGATAAATAAGAAGTCCCAACCTCAGAGAAACTGGGTTGTCTTGAGGCCATACAACAGTTTCGGACATGGGAACCAGTGTATGTTTCTCAAGTGGCCTGAAATACTTGGACCAGAATCTTCTGGGGTAGGGTTGGAGGCTTGTCTCCATGTAGAGCAAACCAGGGCCTTGAATTCAAACTTCAGTATCACACACACACACAAATCTCCTGGGGTGAGCAATGTCTGTTAGGTAAGTAGTACCCTCCTGTAAAATTCTAGTACTTGTGGAGATGGAGGATGGAATTTCTGCAGTTTGTCTCAAAAACAAACCCCACTCAAACCAAAATTGCCTAAGATATTTGAAAAGCAAAACAGAAACTAGTAGATTCTGGCCCTTACTAAATTAGAATCTTTTGGAGTTGGAGAGGAAAGATTATGGCTTTTGTGTGTGTGCAGGTGGGGGTGGGGGGTTTACCAGTTTGAACTGACGGCCTCATGTTCTCATTCAGCTTTGCTCACGGGGTTTGGGACACTTTACCACTTGAGCCACAACTCTAATCAGGCTTGCTTTTTTTTTTTTGCTGGCCAGTTGTTACAGAGTTTATGCCCAGTCTGACTCTTTAAGTGTGATCCTTTAGGTCTCAGCTTTCTGAGTAGCTAGGATTACAGATTTGAGATACTAGCACTTGGCTGATAACGTGTGTGTGTGTGTGTGTGTGTGTGTGTGTGTGTGTGTGTGTGTGTGTGTGTGTGTGTGTGTGTTAGCACTTGGCTGATAACGTGTGTGTGTGTGTGTGTGTGTGTGTGTGTGTGTGTGTGTGTGTGTGTTGCGTTTGGTGATTGAACTCAGCACCTAGGCTTTGTCTCTTAGCTTTTTTGCTCAAGACTATCACTCTATCACTTGAGCCACAGTTCCACTTCAGCTTTTTTGGTGCATATTTGGAGATAGTCTCTAGATTTTCCTGCCTGAGCTGGCTTCAAACCTTGATCCTCAGATCTCAGCTTCTTGAGTAGCTAGAATTATTACAGGTGTGAGAGACACCAGCGTCCTCTAGGCCATGTTTTGATATCTTTAGCTGAAGCCTTTTTTTTTTGGTCA